AGTCATACTAGATAATGACTCCAATCAATGCCATTGAGCTACAGTGAGACCAATATCTTCATACAATGTTTTTTTTTTCAATAAGACAGCTCTGATAATCAAGATCTGAATTAAAATTAAACCCTTTGAAATAGAAATTGAAATAGCTGTACATACCTGATTGATAGCCATTGCACTGTTACATTGATAATCACCAAACCTCTCTTGCTGTACAGCCTGCACTGCTATTGGAGCATTTTCCAAATTAGGAAATGCTGTTAAAATTGCATTTCTGAATAATTCACTTAAAACAAAACGACAGTCAGTCATTGTCTTTTTGGACTTGACTTTTTCCTCTTCAATGCTCTGTGTAAAAAACAACCACAAATATTTTAATATATTATTACTAGTAAAATAAAAAGTGATATTCTTTCTTCACACTTATAGATTTCCTTGACAACTGGCACACTGTAGCCATAAWTTTTTTGCACACAAGATGGAAAATCATTTTCTTTAAAAATAATTATCAAATAGTAAAAATTCAAATAAAACTTAAAGATATAAGTGGAAACCTGAAAGTGGTCGGTTTCCAAAAAATTCTAATAAAAAACTGTTTTGGGCACCTCCAAATAACGGGCACGCTATGTGCCCGGATTACAGGGGTTTGTAGCCAAATTTCATCAGATCTGAACTTTAACACGTAAACTTATACATTTGTGTACACAAATAAATTATTTACAAGTGAACTGACCCTTTTAAGCTGATTAACACGGTACTTCAATTTTGCATTTTCTGTTTCTAAATCTTCCAATTCATTATCCTTTTCCTTCTGAACTGGTTTAAGTTCATTCGCAGCAACTTTGGACTTCAACGATTCGAGTCTCTTTTTCAAAACACCAAGTTGGTCCTCCTTCAAGAAAAAAAATTAAAATCACAGACGTAAATACAAAATTAAACCATACAAACTCTGTTCTAATATTAAACTGAAACTTACGGCGGTTTGAGCTCGTTTTGTGTACTCTTCAACCAGCTGATCATGATCGGCCATTCTGGAATATTTGATCGTTCCACGTGGAAATCCAAGGTTACGAGTTCTGTGCAAGTATTTGGGAATTTGACGACTTGATGATGTCGAAAGAYCCTCTGAAAAATACCTTAACCCTAGATATACACCCTGAGAAGCTAAAGAAGCTCTAAGAAATAATGTCATTCATCCAAAATTCCGAGAAATTTTATTTCCTTGCCTCGTTGGTCGGCAAAACTATATTTTTCAATGGGAGGTTACATAGAAAAAAGGGGAGGCCGCACAGCTAATCATATATTCAAAATGGCGGACGGAAACAGAGGGGAAACCTGAGAACGCCAAAAACAAATACATTTTTCCAAAGATTTTACTTAGCTGATCGATTATAAGTAATATAGAAATGATAATATAAGCCCCAAGTATCACTATGAGCAGTTTAGGCGATGCATCCATTGGGATTTGGTCTTTTATTCCGTCACCTCACCCAACTGACAAGTGTGGAACAAATGGTCTACCTCTTACACCCAACTCTATTGTGGTCATGGGAAGGTTTGAGTCTCTGAAGACCTTTTATCATGAGAATGTATGTCAGTATTTGGAAATAGTGAGGGCAAAACATGGTGAGTCTGTCTTTGGAGCTTATTTTACATGTAAATGCGTTTCATTTGGTTCCATTTCACATTGAGGTCACATTTCTCTCAAAGATAACCTTGATATTGTTTGATTTTGTTATATTAACTTTTTCCTATGAATTCTTTTCTCCATGCAGAAAGACTCATTGTTGCAGAAGAATATCATGAAAATAATTTGTACAAATTGATGCAAGAAGTAAAGTTATTCAGGTATACAAAAAAATGACATACGTTTTCTAAGATGTACTGGTGCATTCAAAAACATCTCAGGCATACATGCAAGCAATGATGCAACAGTGGGGAGCAAAACGTTTTGTCTGTTTTTCCCATCAATGCTCTAATTCATTGAAGCTTAGCGATAAGGAATAGGTATTATAGCCTGGAACTTTAACCATCTGTGTTTTTGTTCTTGGACTGGAATGTATTAAGTTGATAGAGCAGATTTCGTTTGACTGTGCAACGGCACGGATCACAACACGGACACGGCATGGCACYGTCACGGAACCTCGCCTTCTAGGATTCCAAATAAAAATAAAGATTTAACAATATAACACCGCTACGGCACGGTACGGTCACAGCGTGAAAGTAACCATGTTTTTTGCACAGTCATATGAAATCCTCTCTATAGACTAACAAATGCATTTATTTGATCATCTAGCAATGAAGAATTGACAAGTATCATGTTTGACACAATTCAAGGCCTTGCCTTCCTCAACAATCATGGCATTGTAAGCAGAAATGTGTCTCCAAAAAATATAGTTCTTGATTCAAAGGTGAGTCACTTGCCAAGCACATCCAAACATAACACTTAATCATTATTATTGAGTGAATGCATCTATTTCTATGTTGCAATAGGGTAAAGCTAAGCATTCTAAGTATGGATTGTATCACATGACAGCTAATGGATCATTGGTTGCTTTTCCTATTGGGTATGTATTTATTCAAGTTTATAGTCTAATAATACTATAAATTAATATTTTTTTTTTTTTGAAACTGAAACTGTTTTATTGCTCTTTTTTGCTTTTAACTTGACAGAAAAAAAGGTGCTTGTAATAAAAAGATAAATAGGTATAGAGAATATGCAAATTTATGTAAAAGAACGAGAGCCAGAGGGCTAAATTAACTAATAAGTTTTCTAGTTAGCCCCCTGTTATTTAGTGTTACATTGGTTGTTACAGGCAAGGAGAAAAGCAATAAAACATAAGGAAAAAAGAATATACAATTAATTACTTACA